ATATATATATATATATATATATATATATATATATATATATATATATATATATATATATATATATATATATATATATATATATATATATATATATACCTTCAAGGTCTTCCACATTAATCAGCTGATACTCATACCACATGCCAGCATTAGCTGTACGGAATTCTGGCCAGGAGGTGACATGAGGCAAATCTCCCAAGTTTTTGTATCTCCAGTTATATAAGGCACAAATAGATGGACGAGCTCGACCCTGGGCATCTAGCTGAACAGTTGGGACACCTAGTCTCACAAAACGAGTGAACAAGCTCTGTTCACAATTGCTGTACTTTTGGAAGGCCATGTTCTTGATTACAGGGGGAAGCTGGTGGTGATCTCCAATCATCACCCAGCGCTTCAGACGATTTCGCCCATCTTCTGGATTTTGTAGTAATAAAGGAATGAAAGTTTCAATCTCAAGAATTTGTGCACTTTCTTCCATCAGAATATTGTCAAATTGGAATCCTAAGTCTACCAGTTCACGGCGCTTCAGAGCAGCGTGTGTACAGGTCATAGCAATGATCTTTGCCTCCTTAACCAACAGATATCTTGTACGATCTAATCCACTTCTCAGCATCTCAAAAGCTCTAAACTCTTTCAACTGAGTGAAAATGTTTTCTAAATACCTAAAGCACCCCTCAGCAATTTCCATGTCCTCTTCATAACTCTTCTGTTTAAATAGTGGCTGTGGTGCATTGCTAAAGAAGACATGGAAAGGAAACAGTTCACTGACTTGATGGATATTGACAGCCTTTCCAGGAGTGGCTGTGACCTGGCTTAGGTAACGCTCCCAGCGTGCTAGGACATGTTGCAGGAAGAAGTATCCTGCAGTCTCACAGGAAGCCCCCATCTCCCCAGCCACTCCCAGGGACTCCTTCAGACGAGTGACTTCATCAAGTAACTCCAACCTTTTGCTCAAGACATAGTTTACACGGCCATACCTACTGAAGTCCTTTTCAGTCTCAAGGGCCTCTTCTCCATGCCCAAGACGAAGCAGATGCCTCTCATCCACATCTAGGGCAATGATCTTCTCAAAAAGTTGGTTAAGAGCCTGGTTTGAATGCGTAACAACAAGTGTGCGTTCAGCTGGGTTGTTGTGATAAATATTAGAGATGATTTGTACAGCAACATCTGTCTTTCCTGTACCTGGAGGACCTACCACCATTGTCAGGCCAGGTTGCATACCAGACCTAATGGCTTCAACCTGAGTGGGAGTGAACTGCACACGATTCTTACGGGGCACAGTGTATGGATATGGACCACGACTTGGTATGACATACGGTTCCACGCTGATAATCTTAGAAACTTTTGTATCTTCACCTTCAACTGCCCGTTTAGTTGACTTCTGGTCTTCAAAAGCTAACTTAAATGGTGGGTCTCTACTTGCCTTAGGATTATGATTTATGGTGTATCTTGGAAAACTCTTTCTCAAATGCTCAAATTCAAGGAAGGTATCATTAAAATCTAGAGTGGCCAGAGCATTTTCTCTCTGTGAGTAATGGGCAGCACCAGGATCGCCATAGCCTAAAATAATGTCCAACAGCCAATCTGGCACAACACACTTGGTATTCATCAAGTCACGAATTGTTTCTAGGACAGCTTTGAAGTTGTTCTCCTTTGGCTTCCTTCTCATAAGGACATTGAAAGTTTCATACACATCTTCACTGTTGTTGCCAGTTTTGATGTTGTCCATGTCAATTTTGTACTGGTTGCAGTCAAGCCAAACTCGGAAGGTCCTTGTATCTCCCTTTAGCTCTGGCTTTGGCTCCGGTCCTTCTTCTATAACACGGCCATTTTCATCCAACATGCCTTCCACCTCACAGCCTCGGACATACCTAACGCCCCACTCTTCCGGAAAGCTTCCCTCAGGGTTTGGGTACAATTTTGGGAGCCTTACAGAAAGCAGGAGGCAAACGTCATGCTTTCTAAGGGCTTCCCATTCATTCTTTATTTCTCTCCTGACATTCAAGTTGACTGTAATGTCTGCCCTGACCCTTGATGGTTTATCTTCACCCACGTTTGGCTTGGCTACTTCACAGACAGCAAAGTTCTGAATCGGTTGTGCCATGCGAGCCCAGCCGCGGAACAAAGTAGATCCATCTTCAGCTGCCCATGGGTTGAGTCTCATCAGAACATCTTCAATATCTTGGCGAATCTCATAAGTTGACTCTAATCTGAACAAATCAAAGTTTCTGAGCAAATAGTCATGCAGGGTGAGAAACTGGAGATTCAGTTTTGGTAGTGCCAAGCAAGCATCACCAGAGAAGTACTCAGAAGGAACTATGTTGTCATCCCAAATAATCTGTTCTGTTGGATACAGAGGCATTCTATTAATAGATTCAAGCTGTGATATGCGACGCTGGTACTTCCACAGGATTATTTCAACTAGGAACTTCCTGTCACTCTCATTGCTATCAGCTTCTGGGAGTAAATGCAACAAGTGGCACAGTCTCTGCAAATCTGCATCTTCCAACTGTTCTACATGCTGCCTGAGTGTGGCAGTATCATCTACTGAAGCAATACTGGAAAAGCTAAACTGTGTGAGGTCTTCAAAGTTCTTGAAAGCAATGCTCTGCAGAACTTTCACTTGATCATAATGGATTTTCATAACATCTAAATCTGAGAGTGGTTGGCCAGTGTTATCATTGATCTCAAACTGTGCATATACTTTCAGAATGTAAAGCAGCTGAGCAAACAACTTGCCCTCCTCTCTGGCAGCAAGTGTTGACAACTGACATCTAACTATAAGGTTACAAGAATGCAGCAGTGTATTGAAGAACCTCCTAGTTGGCAGCTGAGACTCCAAATCAATCATGAGTTCAAGAAATCGCTCACAATAATGGACAACATCCTGTGCTACACCCACATTCTCATCGGCTGGAATTGTGGATAACTTCTGCATGAATTGTTGCATCAAACTGTAGAGAAATTTTGTATCAAAGTTGAAGTTTTCCAGTTCATCTTCTTTGAGCTTCTTCCTGTGTCTTGCTGTTCTTTTCAAAGCCTTGGCCCAATTAGGAAATTCCTTTAGCACCGTCTGTAGCTGACCCTCTGACAGGCATTCCAATATGTTATATGAAACGGTGTGGCTGATTCCATTTCTTATAAGATCAGTTTCAATACTATTATAGAGATGATTCAAGAACACAATCATGTGAGTCTGCTCCTTCTGTGTGAATTTCCTGGTGGTATCCAAGCAGGCTTTCATCAAATGCCTCAGGAAATTTGGAAAAGGCTCAGGGTGCTTGACAAAGGAGTCCCACGCAGGAACACGTTCTCGGAATTTCTCGTTGACCAGGACAACTACTGACATGAGGTGAGCGGGTGAGGCATTTTCTGAGTAGTTTGGCCACACATAATTCTCCAGGTATTGGCTCAACTCCAGGACAACAATTCGTCTTGTTTCAAAGTCTGTTGCTTTCACTTCACTCTGGTAGACGTCCTGAATTACTTGTGGGTCATACGGTAGATGTGAATCCTTGGTATCTGGTGACCAGTACTGCTGTGCTAGGAAAGTCACGCGATCTGCGCTGATCTGGTCGACTGTTAGTCCCTTCATCTTCCTTGATCTTTAGTTTAGCTTCTTGTCATCATAAACATTCCTCACAGTTGGCCGTCTCTGAAAAGACAAAAGAGAATATAAGTACTACAACCTAATTAATGAAAAGACAAATACTAATAATATACTTTCTCTGGAGGGAACCAGTAACACCTAGAATTTCTTAATCTTGAGAAATCTTCAACTTGTCCATCTTTTAAGAACAGTTATTCAATTTCCCATATGATATTACTTTCACAGATTTACAGAAAAATATGCAAATATAATAAAGACAAAAATTGGATTCAGAATAAAAGATAACACTAAATTTAAATATACAAAGCCAGTATAAAGCACAGATCTAAGGCATGTGGTTATTATTCTTAAAAATTACTAATAAGTCTACAGGGTTTATTTTACCAGAATATGAATGGTAATGGTTGCTCGTCTTTCCCGGTGTGCTGAAGGCACTCAAGACTGTGACAAATGCACAAAAAGGCATCTTTTATAAAGACCTTTAAAACATTTACCACCTTCCTTAACCCCTAGGCAGGAGAGGGATTGAGCTCTATGAAGCCTGGATTTTTAACATTTGAACAGATTTGTAAGATTATCACAAAAACATTAAATCTGAAATTACAGTAAAATGGAACTTAACACTCTAAGATACTTTTCTTTACAAGTTATTATTAATAATAATAATAACAATAAAATAACAAATTAATAATTAATAATAACTAATAAGAATAACAACAACAACTACAATAATAATAATAATAATAATAATAATAATAATAATAACAACAATAATAAAAATAAAAATAATGATAGAAAGAAAGAAAAAACAGAACTTCCTCTTCTCCTCTATTCCACTTTCATTAAAAATAACTAAGATGAAAACTAGAGACCTTCCTCCCTGTGTACCATGGAGTGATAAGACCACGCGGCACTGAAGTAGCAACAGACACTCCATGCAAGCCAATCAGAACCCCCTGTAACAACAGATCTTATGTCAGCTCTTATGTGCTCATCAAATATGTAATCAACAACCACAAGACAATAATTACTTGCTCTATGAAATCACTGAGAACTACCAACAGAAGTACGGGTAATAATTGCCGACAACTTAGATCACAAATGACCTGCAGGGCTCTATTTTCTCATAACATACGAGACAAAGATTTTGTAGACTAAGCTAAGGGTTGGGGAAAAGATAAAGCCTGCCTTCCATGAAAAGGTATGCTTCCTAAATCCTAAGAACAAGTATCCATATTAGAAATTCTTTAGTGTGTTTTCCCCAGCATACCTCATGCAGAACCCTGATCTCTTATGGCAAAAGTGTTTGTAACTGGACATTTTCACTCCATATTTGAAATATTTGCTCATATTTATCCTTTTGATACCTTCATCTCATAATTATTTTAATTTTTTAAAATCATTATTCACTAAGATTTTCCCAGTATATCAAGCTCAGATTTGTAACACTCCTCTTCGTAATAACGTGCTTTAAAATAACAAAGTGATATTTACAGTAATATAATGGGATGTCTACTGACTAGTTTTCCAGGAGTTCCTGTTTCACATGTGCAGTGAAATTCTAGCTCTACCCATTACAGGTTTGAGTGTGCTACAGACATTTGGGAGTGCCCGACACTAAGTCTGTCAGACGCTCTCTCCTGCTGTAAATATGTGGAGGAAGTGGTTTTCCTTGTGCAGGGGTTGGGGGATGGCAACCCCCCAGGAAGGGGGTGCAAGGGGTGAAGGGGGAACAGCCCCCCTGCATTACATGATATATTGGCTGATTCGGTAATTAGGACGCCACAAATGGAGTGCAAATGCGTGGTGCTGTAGCCTTTACTGCTAAACGTCAGACAACCACCTTGCGGTTTTACCATCGTTATAATTCATCTATAACAGAAATGCAAACTGGTTGTGCCTTGGTAAAGCGCTACGCCGATAGCACGGATAAGTAATTCAAGCATAAACACTATTAATCTTTCTTAAAATTGTCACTCCTTGATAACATTGCCGGATCGTCGGCCTTTTTATTCACAAGGATATCTATTACTTCATGTTGAAATGTAACATAAAATCAGTGGGGAACTCTAGGGGGAAAGAATGAGTCATTTACGACTAGTCTTACCCACGAAGATCGACAAGGAGGCTTAAATAGTGTTGAAATCCAGGAAATCTTCTTCGCACAAAACGCGACCCTTTCCCCACGATGTATACAACTCGTCCGAATCATTGGACTGACTTCATCTTTGTTATTAAAGTGTAACATGGAAAGAAAGGATGCATTGGTATCCTAAACAGTCATAAATACAAACCTTTTAACTGTTATTGGTTTGATATTTATAAGGCTTAGCGAAAATGATGGTACTGGCTTATCCTATTCAAGCGAGAAAACGTATCCGTCCGAACAATTTTCGGCTGCGGGAAACGTTTTTGAATAAAAATATATTCTTTTATTTCGAAATTCCGTCTCAAAGAAACAGTCATGAACGTAAACTATTATGCAATCACAAAAGAACATGATATATACTTCTTCTAATAAGAATATATACACATAATAAAACCTATGTAATTTTCAATGTATTTTCATTGGGATTTGAATGTTGCACTTACCGCCTATATCAAAATTCTTCTTCGATGGATCCTTGA